AATAGTGTCACCAATAAAAGTTCAACAAGTGACAACAGCTAGGAATCTTTGGAGGAGGCCAAGGGTGAGCCTGAGGGGCGGGCGGGGAGAAGGATGGAGAAAAGACAGACAAGAGAATGAGCTGGGTCTGGGTGGGACGCTGCCCCCTCGGATGGAGAGACAGTGCTGCAGCCTGCGAGCCGTGTCTTTATTTTATAGCAGGTTCCACGAGGCAAAGTAAGGTTACAACGTTCTCTCGGGTTTCAAATCCACTCAATTACATGCACCTGAACTCTATCAAGCCCACATCACTCAGGCACGTGGGGCCACGTGTTCGGACCATAGGTTCAAGCTCACAGCTGTAGCCTTTGGCTATCGTTGTGCTGGGAGGGCTCTGCCCTCCAAGCTGGGACTTGCACGTGGCTTTGCCATGAGAGGACTGTGCCCTCTCATTAGTCCGAGGCTTGAACCTGTCCAAACGCTGTAGCCACCTTATTACTTGAGTCAGTACTTAGTACTCCAGTACCCCCCTAGGGACATTCGGGACAGGGGATGTGGCCAATAAAGTTTTATGGAGCCCACAGTGATCTGCAGTGCGTGTCTGGATCCGGCGTCCACCTCAGGCGAGAGCAGGCCTGGCTGGGCTGGGCTTGGAGGCCCCGCAGCGGCTGCTAATTGGGCCCTTGTTAATCACAGGCTCCCTAGTGTGCCCTGTGCAGGGAGCGGGAAGGGGGCGCTGAGGGTTTATTTTTAACAGCTGCGCTTTCTGGGGGAAGTAGAAGAGGCCCGGTGATGAAGTGCAAATAAGAGGCCCGGCTCCTGGCGTCCGGGAGGGCTCTGCGCAGCCCGGGCGGAAAGCACCCTGTCCCCCTTCCCTCATCGTCTAACATGGTAATTAGTGGGAGATAATGTGCCTCGCAGCCCATCTCGCCTCCGACTATTTGCCTGACGAAGGCAATTGTGCGCTTTCTTTTTGTTGTTGGCTCTCTCTTCAGCCGGTTCCCGGAGTCCGCCTGACGCGCGAGGGGGCTGGGGACTCCTTTGTCTGGAGGTAACCATGGAAATGCATAATTAGACGTTATTCGTGGTGGAACGGCCCGGGCGGCGGGAGGTCCCCGCGGACGGCGCTTTTAATGATGCCAGGACTCTCCGGGAACATTGGGCGCCATTACTTTCCCAGATGCAGGAGGCACACCTCAGGGGCTGGCGGGAGCCGGTCAGGCCGTGGGAGCCCGTGTTCTGGTCCTCGCGCTGCCCCTCCCGTGAGGGTTTCCGCCTCTGGGACCGGGAAGGGCCCGGGTGAGGTCAGTGCGCACTTGGATCCCCTTTTGCTCTTCATCTCCTCACTGTGGAGGCAGGTGCTTGTCCAGAGTCCTCTCCCCGTCAGAACGGGCACGGGCACCAAGAACAGGGGTCTGTTCTGTTAAAGGCAGACACGTGTCCCGTGTGTCACGGTGCACGAGAAGACTGAGGCGCAGCGTGTGCTCGGACCATCCACACAAACCAGTGACCCCGAGTGGCCGTGGCTTCCTGCCTTAGGTTTTGTCCTCCGGTGGGAAACCTGGACAGAAGGACCATCTAACAGACGGTGATGAGGGAGCTCCCCAAGACGTGGGGAGGGAGGGAGGAGGCAGACCAGGCAGACACGGTGAGCGTGCAGACTGGCCAGTGCATTGACCGTGGGGATGAGGTCTCCCCTGAGGGGTGGCCTCGCGGCCGGACACACCGTCTGTGGGGGTAAGACCATGGGTCGGCTCCTTCACAGTGAATCCTGAGTCCCCAGCAAGGCACGGCGCCTCTGTGACCTGAGCATGGCCCACATCCCAGCTTCCCGCCTCACCCGTCGTGCCAGCCCCGCCGCCTCCACCCCGATTGTTTGGGTCGCGTGGCGTTTCTAGGATTCTCTGCGCTTCCCATTCCCTCTGAGACTGGTCTGTGCTCCTCTTTCCGTCCAGGATGCCTGAGCTTTCACATTCTCTCCGCAGCAGATTCTGTGCGCACGGGTGGTGCTAGCTGCTCCTGTCCCGTGTGGCGTTCCTGCTATAGGACGATTCCCACTGCCATCCTGGTTTGCAGGGCAATGTCATCATTTTAAAAGAATAAAAGCAGAGAAGCAGCACTCCGCCCTCTTCCAGTGAAACGCAGACAACGAACGAAGAGGAGGCCCTCTCGCCCCGGGATGATGTGTGAAGAGGAGGCCGGGCACCTGGGCCTCCAGGGGGCCATGCGGTAGGTGCTTGCCCTGCGCACCCCAGGCCGTTGGCATGGAAACAACATGTGTCTGCAGTCCTGACCAGCAGCCTGAGGCTGTCACCCAGCAGCCCAGAGGGGTGGTTCAGAGCCAACACCTCATCCTCCTGGTGCAGGAAAAGGAAACGCTCAGGAGACTCTAGGACTAGGCACAGGGTGGAACGGAGATGGCTCTCCACCTGCCCTTTGGGTTCCCCAACGCGCACGCTTCCTCCCGATGGGGTGTCGTTCCCCTCTGCCCAGTCGTCTTGTGGCTCCCCAGGCCCACCCACCAATATTCTGTTTTCTTCTCAGGTCTCAGCTCTTTTGTCACTCTTTCAAGCATGTTCTCACAGACTTTTATATATATATATACACTAGAGGCCGGGTGCACAAAATTCGTGCATGGGGAGGTCCCCTCAGCCCAGCCTGCACCCTCTCCAATCCGGGACCTCTCGGGGGATGTCATCCCCTTCAGCATGGGGCCCCTGGGCTCACCTCTGGCCAAGGTCGGCATCGAGCTGACGGACTCGCCCTACGTGGTGGCCAGCATGCGCATCATGACGAGAATGGGGACGCCCGTCCTGGAGGCTCTGGGTGACGGGGAATTCGTCAAGTGCCTCCATTCCGTGGGGTGCCCCTTGCCTTTAAAAAGTAAGCACATTGTTTCAGAATCAAATGCTAGAATTTCTAAACGTAAGCCTAGCCTTAAACCCCCGGCGCGTCCTCCAGGCCCTCGGCGGGTGGGGCCACGCTGACCCGCTGTGTCCTCCGCAGAGCCGCTGGTGAACAACTGGGCCTGCAACCCAGAGCAGACGCTTATCGCCCACCTGCCCGACCGCAGGGAGATCATCTCCTTCGGGAGCGGCTACGGCGGCAACTCGCTGTTGGGGAAGAAGTGCTTCGCGCTCAGGATGGCCAGCCGGCTGGCCAAGGAGGAGGGGTGGCTGGCCGAGCACATGCTGGTAAGATGCAGGGAATTCTGAGTGAGCAGGGTCGGGGCAGGGGCCAGCACAGGGGCGGGTGCTAGCCAATACAGATGGCCTTCCAGTGCCCACTAGGCCAGGCCCAGGACACCCCAGGCCAGACAGATTCGGAAATGCCATCAATAGTTATGAATGACTAGCGGCTGCTCCTTTTGAAGGACGCCAAACACAGCCAGGCCCGTAGGCGCCATTATTCAAAATATTTGTTTGGAAACCTGAAGAGATAGAAGCTGATCCCCGGAATCAGGCCTAAACAGGCAATAGGACATCCCTTTCACAATCCTGGACCACTGGCTCCTTACTGCTCACCTGACTGCCTGCCTGATTGCCCCTAACTGCCCCTCCTGCTGGCCTGGTTGCCCCTAACTGCCCCCCCATCCTGGTCATCCCTTACTTCCCCCTGTGCCAGTCTGGTTGCCCCCAACTGACCCCCTGCCGGTCTGGTCACCCCACACAGCCTGCTGTTCAGTCGTTTGGTCGTCCCTCACTAACCCCTGTGCTGGCCTGGTCGCCCCACACAGCCTGCTGTTCGGTAGTCTGTCCGTTTTTTGTTTTGTTTTGTTTTTTTTCGGTCATGATGGCCCCTGGCTTTTTATATATTAAGGTATTTTAATTGATTTCAGAGAGGAAGGGAGAAGAAGAGAGAGAGACAGAAACATCAATGATGAGAGAGAATCACTGATCGGCTGCCTCCTGCATGCCCCACCCTAGGGATGGAGCCCGCAACCCGGGCATGTGCCCTGACTAGGAACTGAACCGTGAACTTCTGGTTCATAGGTAGATGCTCAACCACTGAGCCACGCTGGCCAGGCTCTCCCAGACTTTTAAGACGAAATTCTCCCCTGCACATCTGAAAGCCTTCCCCCTGCACCTGGAACTTGGGTCTGTCCATCCCCGGCCAGAGGTTTTGGTTGGTGCCAGGTCTGAGGATGCTGGGTTTCACTCTGCAGGCAGTGGGGGCCTAGCAAAGGTTTGCAAGGCACGGCAGGGTGAACCACCCATCGCGTTGGCACCAATGTGTATGATAACTGTCAGAGGCCAGGGCTGGGCAGAGGGTGCTGCCCCAGGTGAGTGTCTCCAGGCACCTGGTGAGCTCTGCTTCTAAACCTAATAAACGACGGAAACTTTGACTTCCAACAGGAACCTTAAAATAATCACAGAGCCCCCCAAAGTGCCAAGAGGGGCCCCCATGTGGTTTCCACAGCCGGCCCATTCCCAGCCGGACCCCGAGCCCCTGAGAGCACAGCACGCACTGGGCTGATCAAAACGCATCAGGGAAAAGATATTTCATCTGCGGACACTATTTTTCTTTGGTACAAAGTGACTTTCGCTCCTAACAACAACAAAAAGTATCCAAAAAAAGAGAGAAAAAATAGCAAAGTCTCCATATCAAAGCCGCATTGATTTTTCTTTTCATTTACAAAAAATAAAAAAATCAGCCAGGCCTGCCTGTTAAAAACGGAACGTCCGAGGGCCTGAGCTGACGTCGCACCAAGAACCCGAACATCCTGCTGAGTTCAAGGAGGCTCCTCGTTAGAAGCAAAGCCGAAGAGGCTGGGAAAGGGGCGACAGGCCGAACCCCAAACCCAGCTCTTCACACCGCGCTTCCCAGCTCTACCCCGCGAGCACCGAGTTTGGAGTTGAAATATCAGAGCATCAAAGGACTGGAGAAGCCATGCCGTGTTGTCCACAGACATCTGAGCTCCTACTGTGTCCAAGTGCTGCCCCTGCGGGATGGGGGCGGGGGGCGGGGGGGAGGAGCCAGAACCAAGTACCACATGCACCTTGCATTTCAGATTACAGCCCACGCTAAGCCACGCATGTTGGTCACGTGTGGCAGAACCCCAAGACCAGCCAGCAGGCTGCAATGAAGAGACTTTATTGACTCCTGCCCCCGACACGCCCGGACAGAGCCGTCGCAGGCTCAGCTGCGTGCAGGGCCCAGTAACGACAGCGGCGTTGCATCTTCCGGCCCCGTGCGCTCCTCTCTGGCTCCTTTGTTCACGGCTGTATTTTGTTGTTACGGTCCAGCTTTCTCCACGTGGCGGGCAAAGCAGCCGGCGCCAGCCCCAGGCCTCCATGCTTACGACCCCTGATTCGGAGGAAAACGACAGCTCCTCATGGATCACCAGCCAGAAGGGTCCAGGGAAGGGCTCTCACCGGCTGACCCTCGCCAGGAAGTGTGAGGCGTTGCCAGCATCGTGTGGAGGGGGACAGGGGGCCCCCGAAGCGGGGGACATGGAGGAGACGTTGTCACCGCCTCCCTCACACACACCCCTACAAGCCAGCAGGCCAACATAATCGCACGTCCCCCAAAGTGAATAGTCTAAGGATAACACGTAAGGCATTGTGTTACATAAAACTGACACTGTCCTGCTGCGGAGGGACATCACGCACTGTTCACCAGTGAAACATGATCTGTGGCCCTAGCCAGTGTTGCTCAGTGGATAGAGCATCAGCCTGCAAATTGAAGGATCCCGGTTCATTTCTGGTCAAGGGCACATGCCTGGGTTGCAGGCTCAATCCCCAGTAGGGGACATGCAGGCAGCTGATCCATGATTCTCTCTCATCATTGACATTTCTATCTCTCTCTCCCTCTCCCTCTCCCTTCCTCTCTGAAATCAATAAAAATATATTTGAAAAAGGAGAAAGAAAGTAACATGCACTGTTAACTCTGCCCATGAACCAGGAGGCCACAGTTCCATTCCAGGTCAGGGCATATGCCTGGGTTTTGGGCTCGATCCCCAGTGTGGGGTGTGCAGGAGGCAGCCAATCAATGGTTCTCTCTCATCATTGATGTTTCTATCTCTCTCTCCCTCTCCCGTCCTCTCTGACATCAATAAAAATATATTTACATAAATAAATATATAAAATGCGAATAACACCAGGGCACTGTTGGAAGGACGGCTATTGGAGAGAAGACGCTTTTA